TTATAAATACATAATGATCACCTTATAGGGTAATAACATGTATCAAAAAATATTGAATTTGAAAAAGTTTCCTGAAAATTGGGAAGGCATAAAGGATTTTTGTTGAACAAAATATTGAAAACACAATAATTGCTATGTTTGACAGTTATATACCTCTTTCCAGGTATCTCAATGAGTTCGTCATTAATCTTAGAAAGTTATGGGAAACTGTTAATTTCAATGAAATCGTTCATTTCATTATTGCAGGGGACATGAATATAAACAGACTGAATACCCGCATATCATCACCTTTATATGTATGCATTTTATTAATACAGTTTTTCTTTCGCTGATGAACGATGTGTCAATAGATGACTCAATAAAATATTAGAATGGTTTAAAATGGATCTATCGATAAAACACAAATCCTACCTTTTACGTCATATGTATACAACCTACCAACCTTCGCTATTAGAGAGTAGAACAGGAAAGCATAGCTCAGTTCTGAAAACTTGGTATCCATATCGATAGTGCCCTTAAATGAAATATTCACGCTAATAAAATCAGATTCGTTATTTTTAAACTCTAACAATTCAGAAATATCTTTTATTTCCTAAATCAAATAAGTTTTACCACGCGCTTGATCAGTCTTCAGTCCAGCCTTGCATCGTAAGATGGGGAGTAGTGCAACCGTCTCACGTTTTTCACATATACATCGTATGTGTATCTGAAAGAGAAAACCAGAAGGTCTCCCGATGAGGAGGCGACTATTATATGATTTTTCATTAGCTTTTTTTCAACAAAAAAGTATGAGAAAGTAAATAGGGTGGCAGTATTGCGTAAAGGAAGACCTCTGCGCCCCCCGGCGAAGAGAAGCCTGGTCAAATGTGCCCGAGCAACGGCCATTTGAAAATAAAGAGAGTTTGAATAGGTGTGAGCCACAATGAACCCTTGCGGGTTGTAGTAGAAAGACGAGTAGACTCATTCACTAACCTGACCTACTCATTTCCTACTTTTTCCGTGTTGGATCATTTGAATGCACACAACAAATTTTTTTTATTACTTATAGCCTGTAATTTTATATTTCGTCACGACCTTAAGAGGTAGTGAACAATAATACTTGTTCCTTGCTTCTTGTAATTATTCAATGAAATCGAAGGTCTGATTCTTGCGCAATGCTGTATTTAATTTATACCGTGACGCTGGAATAGACTAACGACAAAAAATCGATATTCAAGTCGAGACATTAAACTTTTTAAACCTTCTTGATTTGAATATATGTTATTCGGTGAATGATTTTGTTAATCATGTAAAAAATGCAAAATTCCACTCATGTTAAACGTTTCTACCTCATTTTTGAAAAAAAAAAAATTTTGAAATATTGTTTGATTTGAATATATGTTATGTGAGAAACACTGAATGACTGTAATAAAATTTCAGAAGACATACTGGGAAAATGGTTATTTTATTACTGGACTGGACCACAGTATAGCTAAAACCAGCAGTGTTACTCTTTTGGGAACCTTTGATATTAGTGTCTCACAGTTTCATTTTTTAGGACTACTGCGCATCCATGATTACCCTTTATGAGTGCATTTGTGAGCGTTTGACATTCCATACACTGCTCAACAAATGAATAAAAAATATAAACTGCTCGACAGTAAAGCACATTTCACGAAAAATTAAATGCGTGTTTTATAGTAATGTGGAATATTTCAATTTTTCATTCAAATTGTTCCACGTTTTTATTCTCTCCTTGTCTGGTTCAAATTACCGTTACCGTTACAAGTTACCGAGGAACTAAAGGAATTGCAACGTCAAAGATAGATTAGAACTGGATAAAATGTAATATTTTTGCATACTGTATAAATAATATAAAACGTATAACATCGAACAAAGTTCGGAAAGTGTGTCGGAGAGTTTCGAACGAATGAAAAGGATTGCTTTGCTTGTCCAACCCATTACGCCAACATCTATGCCCAGTTTGGAGATAATTACTACAGGGGAATCCACCAGTTCCCTTATTGATCAGACCGAGGCAAAATAATTCAGATGAAAAATCAAGGAACAGCTGGATCGAGAACCAGTTCCAACATATAACATCAGCAATGAAGAACGTAGAGCTATGAACGGCCTAACGTAGAGACAATACCATCAAGATCCTACCTGCAGATAAAGGAAATGCTACTGTGGTGATGGATACTGCTATCTACGAACAGAAAATCGAAGAGGTTCTTCAGAGGGGATAATACACGAAGATCGTACGGAAACCTACTGCATCAATTAAAAGGAAGTTGTACCAGACTTTGAAAAATCTCTAAGTCTATTTTTCGGTGAAGAAGGGATTATCGCTAACACCGCACCACAGTGAGCCCCCTCACTTGTATGGACTACCCGAAATCCACAAGAAGGATGTTCCGCTCAGACCAATCATCAGGTTCAAAGATTCGGCTACTCAAAACTTGTCTAGATTTTTACTACCAATAATATAACCATTATAAGGAAAAACATTATCTTTTGTGAAGAACTCAGTGCATTTCGTAGAACTACTTGGGGCAGTTGAAGTCTCAGCCTTTACACCAACATTCCGGTTGAAGAAGACTGGGACCTGGAAGATAGAACGAACCCACCTATAGAAGTAATTATGGAATTACTGGGATACTGTGTACGAAACTGTTATTTCCTATTCCTATTAGCCGAATTCTTTACACAAGATGAGGGACTGTCAATGGGATGGCTACTTTCACCAGTTATAGCCAACATATAAATATGGAGTGGTTTGAAACTCTGGCAATTGAAGAAGCCCACAAGAAACCCCGAGTCTGATTGATATACGTTGACAACGTATATCACCATTAGACGCCTTCCTGAAACACATCAACAGCTTAAGACAGTCCATCAGTCCATAACGAATTGCCATTCTTAGACGTATTGGTGAAGTCAGTCCATAATGTCCATAACGAATTGCCATTCTTAAACGTATTGGTGAAGGAGACCGACAATAAGTGGGAAACATCTGTATACCGAAAACCCACCCACACGGGACATTATCTGAACCACAAATCCAATCACCATCAATCGACTAAAAGAGGAATCATCAAGCTCTATCAGACCGTGCCTTCGGGCTATGTAATATGAAGGAAGGACTCGAGAAGGAACTAGACATCATCAAAAATGATCTTCAACGGAATGGCTACTCCAAAGCGATGGTGGAACAGACTTTGGCTAAAAGACAGCACGAGCCTCGCAAGGAAGAGAAGCCGTCACAACCAGTGCGATAATCAGAGGATTATCGGAAAGGATAAGAATAATTGGATCCAAGTACAAAATCAGATCCGGAAACACTATCTGTAGTAACCTCACGAAAACGAGGCCACTAAACTCGGACTGCGATTAAAACTCGGACTGCGATTCCATGAATTGCATTTACCGGATACCCTGTGCGTGCGGAAAATCCTATATCGGTGAAACTAAGAGGCCATTGAAAGTTTGCATTGCCGAGCACAAGAAACGCACATAGCGAGAGGAAACCAGCATGTTTGGACTCATCAACATAATATCGAGTGGCCCCAAGCTGGGATCATACACAGGGAGGAACACTGGTTTAGAAGGAAATTCAAAGAAGCCGCATACATGTTGTTCAGCAATGTATTCAGCCAAGCTAGTGTAGAGATACGCAACATATGGAAGTGATACGCAACAAGTGAAAATGGCCAACTCCCGCCAAATGGTCATTTCCTGCTAAACCGGTGAAGCGTGAAGAGGAGATAAGTGAAAGTACTTGAATGACACATAAATAATCATCTCTCGGAGGAATTAGTCCAGTCATCGACCGAAGACAATTGTGGATACTAACGATCGAAACGTCGTGAAGTACCTTGGCTTGGAATCTCTTAATTTTTTTTTGATTTTTTGTTTAAATGTTCCATTTTTCACTTGTATTTTATTTCACTGTAATTTCATTTCAATGTTTTTTTGCTTAATATTATTGTTATTTTGAGCTATTCTTTTTAATTTTTCATTTATATTGGTTCTTTCAGGGATTTCAAATCATTTTATATAATATTAGACAATGGAAGTCCGAACTGATGAAATACACCACGAAACATTGTTAACCACCTTCAAAGAAATTATTCTGGTCAACATCTGAAATATTTGATTGTAATGAACCTTTATCTCAACTGATATCAACCTCACACAAAATTATATAAATGTAGTTTTGAAAACTCTAAAGTTGAAAATTTTTGTCCAGTACATGGAAATGGAAACCAAGGAAATACGCACTCAAATCGTCAAGTGACCACTAAGTATGTATGTTGAACTTATGATAAGATAAATCGAGGCGTGTATTAGTCGTGAATTCGTATCTTTTGAAAAGGCATTCAACGTTCGGTTTTCGAAATCAAAATGAGTATTCTGTTTTAGTGTATTTTGAGATAATGATACAAACAAAAGGAAGAACTTTGATCTTCCTCTTGAAGATGCTCACTTGGTGATCGAAACATGTGTCGAGGTGTTGAAATAACGGTTGTGTTGGGGAAAAACTCCGGTAATTTCATTACTACACCAAAGGTTCCAAACAGTGCACCACAAGAAGTAAATATTCAATATATTGAATATAAAACCTATTTTATCATTTTAGATATGTACTTATCGATAAAAATTTAATGAAGATATTAATGTCTTACTATGATTTTTATATACATTAAATCCATAACTATTCATACGATTTTATATTT